AATTTGAAATTTGAAATAGTATTTGTCATAAAATCAAATTTGTATTTAGAGAAACCTGAGTTTCAAAATAAGTTCAATAGAAATAAGAAAATATAAAAAAATTTTAATTAAAAAAACTTGGCGCCGCTAACTTTGTAACGGCAGGGCCGTTACTACAGCGAAATACATATATATATACATACGCACGGCTTGCTTATTCCGCCCAACCTTACCTATACCGCTGCCGCCATCTTACTTGCCGCCCACATGCGTTCTCACTCTCGAGCGGCGCTATCTCTCTCGGCATGCGCTTGCACGTACACTGCACGCACTATCTCGCTCGCTCGCATACCGCATGCGCCGTCTCGCTCGCTCCCGAAACGCTATCTCTCCCGCGGGATCCCCACGCGGTCCCGACTCCCCCCGCCGGACCGACGGCGCACAGTGGGGGACGCCGGCCGGGTATATAAGCCCGGCCGGCAGAGACATCGAGACGAGATCCCATCCTGCGATCCGACTCCATACACCGACCTACCAAGTACCTACTACCTATCGGGGCCAAGGTTTCTCTTGGCTCTGCCGGGTTTCGCCGGCTTTCTCTACCTTCGGGCTAAGGTTTCGCTCAGCCCCGTCGGGTTTCGCCGGGAACGATTGCACGCCGCACCTGTCTGGCGCTTCTCGCCGCTTTGCGCCCTTCGCTTTACGTCTCCGCGTTGCGCTCCGCAAATCCTGCTACCAGCGACCGCATTCACCGCACGCTATCGCCAGACCCTGCACGCTGTATCTATCTTTCTCTCTCACTGAATAAACTATCTTCTCTACCTACACTGTGTCTCGTAAGCTTGAGTCTCCCCTTCTCTCGAACCCGGACACCGACGAGCTGATCCGAGCGTCGAGCGATGTGACCGCGTTACAACTTTTAAAGTATATATTAAAACCAACAAACAATAAATTTAGTTTAGATCTAAATTTTATATTCTAATTTAAATCCAATCTTTATTAACCCCTCTCATTCTCCAGTCAAAAGATCGCACCTGGTCCCATCCCGCGTAATAGAGATTAAATTCTTTTACCAAAAAGGGACCGCCGAGCGAACTTCCAAAAAACAGAGTAATAACGACCCTAACGGTCGTTTACCTGATTTTCGGACCGTCAAGTTCGTTCGACCCGATTCTAACGCTTCGAGACGTTTAACTTCGGGATCGTAAAGAAAGTGGTTGCGCCCTTCCACTGACTCATCCTTCCTCGAGTCTGGACGTAACAATATATTACATCCATATATAATATATTTTAGTTAAATTTTCTCGAACTGTACTGCATAAATTGTAATCCAGCAAACCAAGATATGATCGTTATACATATAACATGTACGTAATAAGTGCATATGTTACATCTATGTTATATGGCAGATATATTCGATGTTTGCTGGGTATATATATCATGTACATATATGTATATAGATTTTTCTTATATATCATGCACATATACATGTATACATAAATATACATATATGCATATACACAAATGATCAAGTTATTTCTTTTGAAAGATATATGGGAAAGTATCATAATGTGAGCAATGTTGAAATTGTGTTCAAACTATGCAATAAAAACAGACACATCTATATTTTACTGTCATTAACACGTTTAGATATGCTTATACGTGTCAGACGATAGAGCAGTAAAAATACGCGATGTTGTCTAATTTCAATATACTGAACACAATGCAAAAAATTGCTTTTTCTAACATGCATGTATCAAAAATAATAATGTCGATAATGGCGCAACTAAAAATGTCGGTATTATCGACATTTTTAGTTACGTTTAGATGAGGGCGCTAACCCGTCGGAGTTCGCCCGTCGCTCCGGCATCCTCTTAATAATTAAGAAAAAAATAAAGATAAATATATCGCACATATGTAAAGAATTTTACTTAAGACTGTTTCAACCGTGTTCAATTGTATGGCAAAGCATACGGTACAAAATGTAAGGATGAAAATTAGTAAAATGCGCGATAAACCGTGCAGGAATAATAAATAATAAATAATAAATAATGAATAATAAATAATGGTAAATATAGCGAAAAGGATGTGTGTGTGTGTGTATGAGTGCGCGCGCGTGCTTCCTGTCTATGCATGTACTTTGGTATGTTTCAAACTTTTTTTGTTAATAACGTTTTAATAAGCAACGAGTGACGATTAAATTAGAAGAAAAAGTTACTCAGAATTATGTCCTTGACAACATATATCAAGGTCAAGGTCATTGGGGCTGGGTCCCCTTTTCGCTATATTTACCTAAATAATAAATAATAATAATGAATAATAAAGAAATAATATAAAAGTTACTTTGGATTCTCGCTGTGTTAGGAATAACATAAAAGTTACCTTGGATTCTCACCGCATGCCAACCAATCGTTCTTTACGGGTAATGATATCGGAGTTGAAACAGTGGCCATAGAGACATCTCCGATGATACGAAGGACCGCTTTGCATGCTTGATACATGCGTAACATCTCTTCCCGTTTTTGCGCCTCTTCAGGGGATTCTTCCATCATGGAAGACTGTAATTGCATACATATCACGAGTGTTTATTCGAGATAACAGTGAAATATATAAAAATAAGAGAATAAGAACATCTCAGAGATATGTATAAATGTAAGACTATACCATATGTACTTGTTTGAAAAATGGAAAACATGGGTTATATATATATTTTTTTTAAACCAAATGTTAAAATAAGTAAGAAGAGGGATGGAGAGGATAAGGACACTTACGATTATAGGATCAATGAATATCTTCAGAGTATTTATTTCGTCTTTGGTTGACTAGAGGAAAGCATTCATGGAGAAATAATTAATCTGTAATATTATTAAAACAAAAGAACTATTCTGCAATGAATTATAGCATAAGCATAAAATGTATTGTATCAATATTTTACCTGATCACCACTCGCATAAAGATGTGCCAACAATTCCTCATTAATAAAGTCCTTAGTATTATTAATAATAAGGTGCATAATTGTCTTTGGAACCAAATCACGGATAGTTTTCATAACAATCTTCATGTAAGAATCTACTAAATTCCTGATAGTTTTCACTTGACGTTCAAATTGGGGATCCATTGATAATTGACTCTCTATTTCACCCTGAAGAAACAAAAATAAGATTGTTTAAGCCCTTGTTTCGATTAAGTTGCTTCCAAATGTCCAACGATTAAAGACTGTATAAGATAGCACTCGCAGTGCCGCAAAACATTTCACTAAAATGATCAGTCTAAAAATATTATCAAAATGCAAAGTAACATGTTTTGTTTTATAATGTTGTTATTGCATTTTCTGCAATAATGTGCTTGGTTGAGGAGGTGTCCAATGCTCATGTAAGTGTCGTCTGCTATGTAATTCTTGAAAACACGATTGTACGAATAGAACCTCATATCCTTCTTTTTTGTTGATTTAAATATGACACAAAAACGACACGATTACTATTATGCACTCAGTATAAAAAAAGTAATTAGTATTTTATCTTGGAAAAGATTATAGATATAAACTGAAAGATATGTACATTTTCTCGCTTTCCCTCCTTCTTTACACAAGCGTTGTAAGTATAACTAACAGTGTTCAGGAAGCTATGAAAATTGTATTTACATAACATATAATATTCATATATAAAATAACATTATAAATAAATTATCGGCATATTATATTGCACATATAAAGTATCGGTATATATGTTGCATATATAAAATTTTAAAAAGTTCAAGAAAAATGTTCAAAAATATTTTTCCAAAGCAATTATCATTTTGTTAGTTGTTTTCAATAATATTCAGATGACCACACAGTTAATAAATTGAAAACAAAGTTTTCGTCTCTATTACTTTTATTAATACATCCTCTGCTTATCCTAAAATAAATTAAAATGGATTCTAATAAATAATATAATTAATTATATTCATATAAATTTTGTCACGAAAACAAAGCTTCCTCTATGAGGAAGCAATATATAGACTACATTGTTATTCTTATATTAAAAATATATACTTTGTGCATAAAATTTATTCAGATAAATATATATTTCCATTTCTATCTTTCTTTAGTAAACGAATTGAGAGAGATATATAAGACATCAATCATCTTTTATGAAGGCACATAATTATTTTATTGTATCCTGATCAATAATAAACTCACCTCTCTTTCGTCATTCGCTTGTTCTGTCGATTTTTCAGGATACACGCCAGCCCTCGAGAAAGAGGCCTTCCAAGAATCAATATCATCTTGAGTTTCGCAACTTAACTCTAGTTGCTTGTAATCCTTATATACGTTCCTCCCTTCCGGATTGAATAATGCCAATAAATGACGTCGCGACATAAAACCTTGTTCTAGATCACGCAGCTTCAATCCATCCAAAGGCAGCATGTACTTCTTTTCACGTTCCTTCATACGTAGAAATATCACGAGTTTTTGTTCTTGTAAATAATTCTCTTTTTTTAATAGTATATGATATTACAATTTTTTTAATATCAAAGGACAATTTGGTTTTTGGTCAATTTGCTTGAATTTGTGATATGTCATATTATAGTTCTTGTGTCCCTGATCAAAAATGTTAAGTTACAGAAACTTTCTATGTCCAGTTTCTGAATTATACGAGTATACAAAAAGTAATCTTTTAATACTTCGAAAAATACATATTTTAGAAAAAAATGTTCCATGTAAAAGTTGTAGGATTTTATGTGACGATACATAGCGATATTATTATGACCTCGAATAGCGTTGTCAAGGTTACGTAAAGATCACCTTGATATTTTTTAACAAAAAACCCCATTTTTGATTGCATATTCTTGTAATTTATCTTAAGGGGTTACATATCTTTGTCGCGCGCAAGAATGGCCTATTTTCGGGAATTATTTTTTCAGTAAATAATGCAGTAATCAATACAGAGTTTTTTTATTTTATTTATTATATTCCTAGCGTGCATCAACCGGTTTGCGTCCTCTTGCTGACAATAATCGTAAGCGTTTCGTCCAATTTGTATGCCCAATACATCTAATATTCGAAGATAGGCATCGGCTCCGTCATTGAAAGTACTCGCAGCCACATAAGCAGCAGTTTCAATTATTCTAAGGCTGCCAAAAGTCGATTTCGGAGCGATCTTCCAAATTTTCTGATTATAGCTTTCATTATTGCTTTGTGTATAACCTTCTAGACACCTTTGCAGAAATTCTTCTTTACTTAGAGCTTTGCACACAGGTTTAATGGCTGTTTGAACGATGTCCAGTAACGCAGATTTATGTACGTAATTCTTGAGAGTCCCTGCAGTCTTCCCTTGCTGCTCGCATTTTCGTTCATATCTTTGTCAATTTTGTGATTATTTTAATGCGCTTTGAATCATTGATTTTTTAAACTATATACAATTTAATAAGTCGATAAAAAAAAATCAATTTTTTTACTCGACAAAGGTATGTAACCCCTTAAGAACTTTTCAAAACACTATAATAAAATTCCTTTCTATTAAGTATTTTCCAAGTTATTAGGCTTGAAAGATACAGTACCGCTAGCATTAGTATTACCTGAAAGTGATTTTTACATAACCTTAACAATGTTATTTAAAGTCATACTAACATTTGCTACTTAATGCGCTTTTCAAATCTCAAAAATATAGCATTTTCGAGAAAAATGTTTCAAATAAAAGTTGTAGGATTTTAAGTGGCGTATTAAGTAGCAATGTTAATGTGATTTTAAATAGAATTGTTAAGATCGCGTAAAAATCACTTTCCGGTAATACTAATGCTGGCGGTACTGTACCTTTCAAACCTGATAACTTGAAAAATATTTAATGAAAAGGAACTTTATTAAAATGTTTTGAAAAGCTCTTAAGATAAGCTAAAAGAATATGCAATCAGAAATGGGGATTTACATTTAAAAATCTCAAAGTGATTTTTACGTGACCTTCAATGACAACGCTATTTAAGGTCATAATAATATTGTAATGCGTCACACATAAAACCCTACAACTTTTATATGGAACATTCTTTTCTAAAATGTATATTTCTCGAAATATTAAGGGATTCCGATACTTCTTGTATACTCAGAAACCGGACATAGAAAATTTCTGTAACTTGACATTTTTTATCAGGGACACAAGAACTATAACATATTACAAATTCAAGCAAATTGACGGAAAACATTTTTTTCATATGAATCATGCGTGGCCCTTTAACCGATTATATAAATTATAATCAATATTTACTTCTTCATCTTTAAACCAGAAGATACTCTCTGATGTTAAAACAAACCAGTAATCCCTCGACCCGCTCTTCATAATACCGAGATTATGTATGCACAAGTAGCCTTTGCGAATTACTTGGTTGCCTAATGTATACTGTCCAGATTTAATAGAATTTTCCAACGATTGCTGTGCACTGTAACATAAAAAATTGTGTATAATGAAATGCCAGATTTTATATACCTAACTGCAAAAATTGTTGCTATCAAATCTTACATTAATCGGTTTAAAATAAGTAAAAAAAACCAGCGAGTAAATATCCTAGCATCCATGTTTCAAATAAATATATGTTACGTCCTGGAGACTCCACGATTCCTTCCTTCCGCGACGTTGCGGCAACAATCGTCAATTGGTGATAAAAATGAATCATTCAGTAAATAGAGCATCTTGCGCCGCACATTTCTTTAAACATTTAGTCACTTGTCAATATCTATATCTACGAGTAACCGTGAGAAAGACGCAAGAAGACCGGTAACAAAACCGCGCCGGTCGCCTAGAAATAAATAAAAATCAATAGATACCCTTTGCAGTAGAATTTTCCGGCGGAAGAATAAAGTGATACCGAAAAGATAATAAAATTCCTTCTAACGAAATATCTGACAAGTACAACTGAATCAATAATGATAAAACTTCCGTAACAAAATATTCAGTAAATACAGCTGCATTAATATCGATAAAAATAATCATAAGGAAGTAAGACTTTTTCTAATCAGATCACGTGCGCAAGGGAAATCTAATGCTCAAGGAACTCTGAACTGATATCGAGATCACCAATCGACGATCACCACGGGTAAAAACTCGAAAGTAAGAGGAACACCCCGCCTAATGAGGACACTAGCACAACTTTTAATTTGTTAAGGTGAAGAATCCGCACTTCTGTGCAATTTCAATTTGTTGAAGTTTTGGAAGATTCCCACTCTTAGAATTAAAATACACCCCCGAAAAGAGAGTTATAAAAAGAGGACTCGAAAGGACTTATACACTTATTCTCCGGTCTTCAGCTTCACGCAGTGTTACTCTGTGCTTTTGCACCGTAATTCGCGAGTTAGGCACTTGCGCAACCAGTGTCCTCACTTGGCACCATCTCCAGAGCAACCACGAATCGAATATCGGGCTGCCGACATGAGACACAGAGCGAAACACCGTACAAATTCGCCACTCCTCCATCTCTGAATTACTATTTAAAAAAGTAAGTTTAACTGAATAATTTTTCTTTTCCTCCTTTTTGTCTTGTTTCTTGTTTAAATCAAAACTTTCCGAAGAATGTTTCATTCTTTTAAATTATCAATTCGTTTCGGTAATAGGTCTTAGAAAATTTTAAATCCTGATCTTAATCTAATACATATGCGAGCGACTAATTTTATTCTTCTGACTGTTGTTAACATATACACTTATTTACTTATACAAATTATAATCAACAATATTTTATTTTTATTTTTAAATAATCATGTATATCATTTATTTTAAAAAATGAATAAGTTCATACTTTGTTAATTAAAATCAAAGCAACTCTTTATTAACCCCCCACTCATTCCTAGACAAAGATCGCACTTGGTCCCATCCTGCGTAAAAGGGATTAAATTCTTTGACCAAAAAAAGACCGCCGAGCGAACTTCCGAAAAACAGTGTAATAGCGACCCGAACGATCGTTTACCTAATTTTCGGACCGTCAAGTTCGTTCGATCCGATTCTAACGCTTCGAGACGTTTAACTTCGGGATCGTAAAGATAGTGGTTGCGCCCTTCCATTGAGTATGTTTCCACCGAGGGTTCGAATCGGGTCAAAGTTGGGTCAGAGTAGAGTCAGAGTCGGGTTGGCTTGTCTGTTTCCACCGGATCAGAGTTGAGCATAATTACACTAGGGTTGCGATAAGATTAGATGATACCAATTGTACAAAGTACAGCTACAACTGTCAGTATCCTGACATATTAAGGTTAAATTTTTATAACAAAATATTATGGATCCGAGAGCGATAATGTTAATTTCACAGTATCAAAGTAATATGCAGAAATTATTCATTATTGTAAAAAATATATAAGTATTCGTATAACCACAACACGATGTACACAGCACAATTTCCTTCTGTTGGCAACACTGCAACTAACTCGACTCTTGTCGTTTCCACCGAACCTCATTTGGACCCTACCTTAAAATTTTATTGGGTAGAGTTCAACTTTAAGTTGAACCTAACGCTCACCCCAACCCGACTCTGACTCGACTCTGACCCAATTCGAGCCCTCGATGGAAACATACTCATAGACTCATCCTTCCTCGAGTCTGGATGTAACATAAGTTATTGTTGGTATTTTTGAAGAATAAACAATCCCCAGGATATATATATATA